TCCTGGAAGAAAATCCTTCCTCAATCACCAGGCTCCCTACATGAAAATGGAACACATGCAGATTTACATCTCTAGGCCTTTTCCATTGGGGAGGTGATTTTAAACCTCTCCCTTTAGGCATAATAAAGAGAGCCATGTGGAAGTGGCATGGTGAGAAGGAGGAAATGCAGAGGGCAGCACGTGAGTGGACATTTGCAAGCAGCTTGGGAGAGAGGAGGGGGCTGAAGCCTCAGAAGTAGAGCAGCAGGAGGGCAGCTGAGGAGCCTGAGAGGGAGGACAGAGCAATGAGAGAGGGCTCAGCCATGTTCCCATGTGCTTTGGCACGCCAACTTAGCATGGACAAGGTGTTTTGGGGAAGGACCTTTTAGACTTCCTGGAAACAGAGGCAAGAAATTCAGGTAAGGAACACTTACTTAGCAATGATGTAGTAATCCCTACTAGGGGTGGCTGCCCCTACTCTAACCCTGATGTTCTAATACTTCCTTCTACACAGGAAAGTGTCCTTGTCACACAGGCAGGTGCCCAACAGTCAGGTCTGTACCATGTGACTCTGTCCCTACGGCATAGCTGACTGGTCCCCTTGGCAGACAATTGAATCAAGAGGGATATGAGATCATTTTGTAGCCCAGCCATTGGTGGTATGGGGGCCAGCCCCTTACCAAGCCAAGCCAGAGTCCTTCCTCAGAGCAGAGAGAGACTAAGCTAGTCCCACTCTGCTAGAGGCAGGTGGGACATGAGGAAGTTTGGGAGTTTCAGGCTCTTAGCCACATGGAGGAGTCCCATCTGTAGGGGGAAAGCTGAAGCCCGCACCCAAGGAGAACCGGACACTGACCCCTTCGATTCAGTTGAATCTGAGCATGGCCCAAACTCAGGGTATCCTCCCATTCTTCTAGTTTAGCTGCTATGTGAAATGCTCAGTTATCCTTCCAAAAGCCCTAGCCCCTGTTCCTCCTTTAAAGCAGTTGGTTAGTTTTCACTTCCTTGCACAGTGCACTGATTCTCACACAGATGACAGACTGAGTCAGTTAAATGAGTGTCATCCAAAGTTTTATTCATCCTCAGACTGGAGGCTCCTGTGGCCCTCAGTCACAGTGGAGCCCAAGAGGAGCTGGCTCAAGAGGGTTTATTTTGCTCCCTGCCAGTTTTGGAAGCTCTGTTAACAGAGCCAGCATCGGCCCTTCTAGGAAACTCTCAGTTCACTCATGCACAACCTTGTACCTGCCTCTGAGAGCCTGCGGATCTGGAGGGGATAAGAGACCCAGAAACCTAGGCACTTTCCTGGAGTGCCCTTGGAGGACACTTTACGTGGCCATCTCTTCTTATAGAAAGCTTATTAAGATCTGCAGTAAAGCAAAACTCACACAGACTAATACACAGCAGTGGCCTACCTAGCCTCTGCTCCAGAGGCCATGACTCAACTCATGTTAGCTGCCAGCCCAAGCAGGCACAGTGTTTCCTTCTCAAATCATCTGTGGGAGAATTCACAGTTGAGCAACTCAGGGCAAGGGGGAAATAGGATAATAAGTATTTTTCTATTCAGCAACTTGCTGAATAAAAGGAAGGTTTCAGAGATTTTAATGCATCTTAAATTCATAATGAGTACTGTTCAAGTTTCCTTTTCTATCCAAGGGAGGAGAGGCAGCATCTGCTGGTCTTATTATAGACTGCCATTTCACACAGGATATGATGTTTTAGTGAAGAGAAAGGGGAGTTGAGGGTGCAGAATAGAAAGTTCAGTTTTGGACACATTGGGTGTAAGTTCCCCAAGGGGCACATGGGTACCAACATCGAGCAGGCAATCAGCTATACAGCAAGGCACAGGACTGAGATTTGGATGTCCTTCCTGAGATACTCCAGGAAGAATTTGTAAAGTGAGAGGAGAGTGAACCCAGGGCAGAACCCTGGGAACAGCAATATTTATGGGGTTGAAATGGGGAAAGGAATTAGTAAGGAAGATGGAGAAAGAGCATCCAAGATGACAGAAGAAAATGAGGGGGTACTGGTGTCTCAGGAGCCCAGGAGAAGAGAATTTCAAGAATGAAAAAGCAGCTCCAGTGGTGCAGTAGACAGAGAATTCAGATGTCAGGGGGCTGGAGCTGCAGACCCTGGCCCCAGTCTGAGGCCAGTGGGGCCTCCGCTCAGCAGTATGTGAGGACAAGGAGATGGAAGGGAGTGAGGTACAAGGGAGAATTGTAAGATGGCCCTGTTTGGAGAATGGGATTTTGTCAGAGCATAGCACTTCTAGCGATGAGCAGCCTCAGACTCTGGTCAAGGGGACGAGTGGCCAAAGTGGTGAAAAGGTAAATGTCATTGAAGACAAGGGAGTCAGAGATTTTAAGATGTAGAATATGTTATCCACAGAGATGCTAAGACATCGAGATGATGGCAATATTTCTCCTGGGGCCTCTGAGTCAGAGGCCCGTGTCCTTGGTGAATGTCGGGAGGTAGGTGGATGGCAGGGCCAAGGAAAGGCCCCTCAGAGAAGAGTGATGGCCCAAGAGAGAGAGTGACAGGTGGAAGGATGCCGACCACCTTTCTCCTAGTCCCACGGCAGGTGGGCTAAGGGAACAAATTGTTGTCTCTCAAAAGGTCTACAAGCCATGTCCTTCTCAGGCACATTTTGGTGAAGGCAGAAGGTGGAGGGAGTGCCTTCTCTAGGCGGACAAAGGTTCCAGATGACACAGGCTCAGCAGGCTGGGAGCAGTGGCGGAAGGGCAAAGGGCAGCATTCACAGTGCAGGAGGGTCCAGGAAACTGGAATGACCTAAACCTTGGGAGTTAGCCTGGGATGGTAGGGCGGGAGGGAGGCACAGTGGGACTGACTGAGCAGGGACCAAAGGAGACCATGATTGAAATGGCCTCTGCGCTGAGCAGACCGAATCCCTAGGCCACATGTACAGCCTGGTGAGCAGGTTAGGGCTTTGCACCAGGTTCCCAACAGAAATTGTGACATTGTCTGGGAGCCTGTGCAGGGCCAGGCCCTGGTGAAGGGATGGATAATTAGACTTGAGTCTGAATAGAAGAAGAGAATGGTCTCCTGCACCCCTGCCCTGGGTGGCTGTGCTTAGTCATAGATCCTGTGGCTGGCCCCCCATCCATGCCACCCTCTCCTCTGTGGAGGAATCATGCTGTTTAGGTAGGATTGATTTCACTTCCAGCCCAGCAGCGTATTGTTCGCCAGTAGAGAAACCCCACCCCCCTGGCCAAGGACTGGTTCAGGAAGGGGTCTAAGCCCGCTCCGCCTCTACATGCTGGCTTTCCTCTGCCACAGGGTTGCTTTGGGGTGGTCACAGGAAGACATAGGCTCCAACAGACTGAAGCCCAGTCATGTCTGGATGGTGCAGTGTAAGGATGTACAATCTGAAGAGAAAAACCATTTGTGCCCCCACAGGGGCAGCAGCCTAAAGCCAAGGCCAGCACACCGAAGAGGGCAGAGCTTCGAGATTCCAGAGAAACAAGCTCCCCAGAGCTCTGGGAGCTTCTGGATCAAACCATTGGTCAAGCACTCATTGCTTTGGAAACAGTGAAGGCGTTTTATTATTTAAACCAGTTTTGAGCTTTCTGTTATCTTAGCTCACCCGAGAGCATCCCGACAGAAAGAAACACCTCTTACACCTCTTAGGCATCCTTTTGTTCGGCCAATTTGGAGAGGTCAGGTGGACAAACGGATGTTTGAGTCTGGAGTTCAGGACAGAGAATCAGGTTAGGGATCTGTTTGAAAATCATTAGGGATAGTAATGATATTTAAAACCACAAAACTGGATAAACCTACTAAAAGAACACTACTTCTTTTGCTTTTACTTTGAAGACTGTTACGCTGAACGGTGATAGCACTTTAATTCATATCTTTGGAGACTTTATTTAGAAAAGGACTGAGTGTATGGAAAATGAAGAAGTATTTTATGTCAGCTGACTCCAAGAGGATGCAACCCTTTTGCAATGTCACCTTCCATTGAGGCTAAAAGGTTTTGTTGGTCTAGTGAGGATAAAATAACAGTTACTTGACTGTATTACTTAAAGTGTTATTGAAGCAGCAGTTCAACCATGAAAAATAAAATATTTTATTTATTCCACAGGTGCACACGTACCTACTGTATACAGTGGGCCAAACAGCAGGTCCCATCCCTGGTGGCGATAGAAGGCTGGTCAGTGGAACGTCAAATTCTATCACCACCTTTTGTGGTGTGTATCTGTTTATTGCTTGCTTTCCTCCATTACAATGAACTCCTCAATAGCTACTTGCTGAATGAATAAAGGTCATCAGATTGTTCAAAAAAATTGTATGAACCTGTGGTGACTATTATTTCACCACTTTGCTAACATTATGCATTACAATTTTAAAACATCTTTGCTACTTCAGTAGATGTAAGGTCTACGTCAAGGTTGCTTTAAGTTTAAAATTTTTGATTGTCGACGACGACCATTTCCCTATGCATTTGTATACTAATTTTATTTCTCATTGTGAATTACATACCTTCTTTATTTAGTTATTAACTTGACTGCCTTTTAGGTATTTAAACCAGTTTTATACATTCCAGGTATTTTCTTACTGTTTGTGCAAACAATTTTCTCAAGTTTTCATCTTTTTAAAGATCCTGCCCAGTTTTTATATTTTTTAATGGTAGCCTGCAGTTTCTCCTGTTGTGTCAAAGCTTTGAGAATGCTGACACTCATAAACGTAACTTTTATCCTATTTAATATACTGTTTCTATGACTGTGCTTTAAAATATTTAACACTTTAATCCACTTGAATTTTATTTTGTTATTTAATGTGAAACTTCTATTTTCCACCAAATTTTCATTAGTTTATCTGAGCATTCCTTACTAAGTAATCCTTCCTTCCTTACTGCCATGTTTGGGAATACTACTTTATTACATGTGCCATCAGGATGATGTGTAAACACGTATGCTTGTTCAGTCTCATTCCTTTCAGTTGATCTCAGTTTCTCTTTTGGGCTCCGGGCTCAGCCGCAGTCCAGCAGTACCGAAGGCTTATTTCGCCCCCTGCAGGCGTCCGTTGTCCCCCGGGACCCAGGAAGCCCAGGGCAGGGCTGCAGAGAAGCTCATCCCCAGCTATCCGCCCTCCTAGCCAGGTAGATGTGTCACTGTCCCTGCGTGAGCATTTGGGGTTCCATTGACCGGCCTTCTGTCCAGATATCCTGGGGTCTTGAGCTTCCCCGATCCCACGTTTCTAGTACGCAGTAGGGCTGGGCCTTTACCCCGCGGTCCGGTGAGGACCGACCCCTCTGGTCTCTCACCTTTGCGTCGTTCGACCTCCCTGAGCCCAGGGCACGCCGCCCGGTGCTCCTATCTTCTGCGCGACATTCCCCGGCACCCACGCGCTGCGGCCGGATAGGCTCTGGGCGCAGTCTCTTCCTGCTCGCTCAGAAGCGGCGGGCTGGGCCGCATGTTTCCCTCCACGTCCCTGCACTTTGCCGAGGGTACCCACTTGTAACAAGGGGCTCGCTGTTGCAAGTGTTGTGGAAACAGCGCTTCAACCATGAAAAACAAAATATTTTATTTATTCCACAGGTGCACACGTACCTACTGTATGCCGGGTACTGTTGTCAGAAGAGCCCCGTACTGGGCCAGCCTGGGGTGCCCAGAGCTAACGAGGTTTATTGCCAAAGCGGAAATCGCGTCTTTGAGCATTTCGGGGAATGAGTGGAGAGCCGGGAGGGGCGATCGCTCTGGAGCCGTCAGTGATGGGGACTGGCCTAGGCTACACGCCCCTCTCTTTGTCTCTAATTAACCGGCGAGCCGTCCAGAGGCGGGTGTCTGGACCGCGCGGCCCTGGGCCCAGCGCCACCCTGCGCGAGGAAAAGGGGAGTGGGGAGCCGGAGCCCCACCGCGCCCGCAGCGCCGCCGCCGCGCGCCCCTGCGGGAAGGCGGTGCGCTCCCGGGATCCCGGCCACGCGCCGCGCGCCCCTGCGGGAAGGCGGTGCGCTCCCGGATTCCGGCCACGCGCCGCGCGCCCAGGCGGGGGAGCTCGCGAGCAGGACATTCCGCGGGTTCCCGCGGTGGGTGCCGGCCGCCCACGCCCGGGCCCCTCGGGGCTTCACACAGGGGCGTTCACTCGGAGTGACCAGAATAGCTGCACCTCGCGTTAGGGCCCACGCTGGTACCCTCTGGACACCAGCTGACAATCCACGTCCGGAAAACCTAGTCATAATTGTAGAATTAAAAAATGCACGTGAGCCAACCAGCGGCCGCAGCACTTCCGTGAAAAAACCCCGAAAAGCCGTGTCGGCTTCCGCGGATCCTCTGACGTCGCGGTCCGGAACCCTGCCACCTGCAGTGCCTGCGCCCTGAGCAGAGGGACGGCCGGCGGGACCCATTCTCCTCAAAGAGACACTTGGGAGACAGCCTTGCTGCAGGGATGGGGGACTCCTGGAATAGGAGATCCCTTTAAACATGCTCCTGGGCCTGCAGTTTTTTGTACCTCTGGAGACCATACATAACAAAAAGTCTCTGAATTCAGTATTTTTTAAATTAAATTTGTAATTCATCACAATCCTATCATCAACCTTGAAAAACTGTTGATGTTGTAACATTGTATGTAAGACATCGTATTTATTCATGCCCAGCAGGGGTTCTTCATCGGGGGTGGGGTGGGGTACAATGGTAAATAGGATTGCCTAGGATTTCGGGGATCCTAGGGCCTGAAATTGTTTCAAATTTTGGGGTTGAGGTATATTTTTCTGGGAAGAAGTTCGGCAGCTTTTATGATTACCAAAGAGTTCATGACCTTAGTTTCGTTAAGAAATGCTGGTCTAAAGTTAATGATTTGAGTTTATGGATTCAGGACCCTTTACACTGAGGCCTCCTTGAGGGCCTGAGCCCACCAATCTGGACCCTGGGGAAGAGTTTGGTTCTCCCGTGAGGATCACTAGGACCTGGACTTGATTCTCCCTCTTTACAGAAAACCTTCAAACTCCCACCTCAAAAACTCCAGGGTCAAGGTTGGTTTCATTTTAAAGCCAAGTTAGGTTCAAGTAGATTTACTTCTGCTTTTCTCTGACCTTAAATAGAAATAACTCTCTGGTGGGTTTTTTCCCTGGGTTAGTCATGCAAACTCTCTATGCCTCACTTACCACTAGGTTTCAGCCTCTGGGGCAGCTCTCTGCACAGGCCTGGCCCAGGACCCCTGCCCCATGGGAGTCTCTGGGGGAACTTGGGTGCTGACTTTGCCGGACTGGGATTTTCCTTAGCCAGTGTGTCCAGGGAGTTAAAACATGTTCCTTTTAAGGGAAAAAGAATGAGAATTTTTATTTTTAATTGTGAAGGAAAAAAGATTACAAAACCATACATCATCTCACTAATAGGCCTAACACAATAACTAATTTTGTTTTTAATATCAGCTTTCTGATGTGTATACATTTTGCATTGCTGTGGTTATAGTAGTATAGTAATGGTATATTAAGAACTGTTTTATTTTATTTTATTTCCCTTTTCCTTAATATACCATAAACATTTTACTGTCTTCATAATTAGTGTTTTTAATGGCTGCATACTTTTCCACCCTACAGGTATACTTCATCACTTCCCTTTGCTGTACATTTGCAGTTTCAGGTTATTGGTGTGTGTGTGTGTGGATGTGGTGGTGGTGGTGGTGGTGTTATGCCATGAACTTGTATTCAGGGAGTTCATTCTGAGGTCCCTTTTCTCTAGCCAGATTTTGATGTCATGATGAACCTTCAGGCTCAAGAAAAGCCATGAGTCATTCATTCATCCAGTAAATATTTAATGAATGTCTACTACATGCCAGACACTGGTCTGAGCACTGAGGATACAGAAAATTGAACAAAACAAAGTCTTTGCTACTATGGAGCTTACATTCCCATTAGGGGAGACAGACAATAGACAAATGTATATACAATACATTAAATATATATTATATTGTCAAGTAATAATAGAAATGGTGCCAAGTAAGGGAGATTGGGTATATTCTTTCTTGTGGAGTAATCAGGGCAGACCTTTTTGAGCAAATGATATTTGAACAGAGATACAAAGGAAGCGAAGGAGCAATCTTTCCCCAAATCTGGGGAAAGGGCTTTTTCAGCAGAGGAAACACAAGTGCAAAGGTCCTGAGGCAGGAGTGTGGTTGGCATGCTGGAGGAGGCCAGTGTGACAGAAGGGGAGTGAGAAGGAGTGAGTGACAGGGGATGCGAGTAGGGAGGTGGGTTGTGGTGGTGGTGGGGAGGTTGCATTCCATGGGGCCTGACGGGCCTTCTTTTTGAGACTGAGAGTCATAAGATTTTGAGCAGAGGAATGAGATGCTCTGATTTACCTTTTAAAAGAATCAGTTTGGTTGTTGTGGAAACAGACTCTCTGAGTTTGTTTATATAATAATCTGGGCAAGAAATGATGTGGTGCTTTAGAGCAGGTGCAGTGGGGGAGCTTGTGGGGGTGGGCCCAACAGGTTTCATGGATAGTTTGAATGTGGAGTTTAAGAGGACAAGCCAAAGATAACTTAAGGTTTTAGGAAGAATGGAATTGTCATTGAGTTTTTAAAAATTTTGTTGTTTGTTCATTTGTTTGTGTTTTGTAGAGACAAACGGAATGAGGAATTTAGGTGAACATATTAAATTTGAGACGTCTGTTAGAAAGCTGAATGAGTAAGTCAAGCAGGCAGCTGAATATGAAAGCTTGCAGCTCAGGGGAGAAGTCAGAGCCCATCTGGGAGCTGTCAGTGAACACATGCTACTTAAAGCATGAGATGGCATGAGCTCCAGCCCTGACCTTTCCACTTGTTTATCTCGCTGTCTACTGGACACCTCACTTGGATGTCTAAAAGACAACCTAAGGTCAACGTGTGTAAACGCAAACATCTGATCTTACCCCCTAAACTGTGCTACCCACAGATCCCCGGTCTCAGCTGATGGTGGTGTTCTTCCTCCATTGCTCAGACTAAAACCTGAGAGTCGTACTTTACTTTTAAAAAGTAATGTCCCATGTCCAATATGTCAGGAAATCCTGTGGGCTCTCCCTTCAAAATATATCCAGAATCTAATCCAAGTACTTCTCACCACCTCCACTGCTACCATCCTGGTCAGAGCCACTGTTAGCTATTTCTTGCCTGGGCTACTGCAATTAGTCTCCCACAATTTCCTCTGCTTCTGCACCTACCCGACCCATCCCTTCTCCACCAGCCTATTCTCAACGTAGGAGCCAGAGGGATTCTTTTAAAACTTGTCAGACAATTCCCTTCTCTGCTCAAAACCCTCCAACAACTTACTGTTTCAGAGTAAGAGCCCAAGTCCTTATAAAGACCTGTGAGGCCCTCTGTGATCTGACCCAGAGGGAGTGCGCCTCTGTCTCCCACTGCTCCCTCCTCACGCCCCGGGTTCCAGCAATGCAGGTCTCCTGGTTATTCCGCAGACATGCCAGACACACAGCCGCCTCCCAGCCTTCTCTTCAAATGCCCTCCTCTCAGCTAGCCCCCTTGTCTCATTCTCTTACCTTCTTCAGATTTTACACATCTCATTTCCTCAGTGAGACTGCCCCTGACTGCCCTATTGAATATAGTACACCTTTCACCCTGCACTCTGATCTTTTTCCCTGCTCTACTTTTTTCTTTTCGATGTAACTTTTCACTTTATAACATATGATATCATGTATTTATTTGAATATCAGCTCTTCCACAGCAGGAATCTTTGTTTTGTCTTGTGTGTGTATTGATATGTCCCAATGCTCAGAACAGTGCCTGGCACATGGCAGATGAATGTTTGTTGGATGAACGAATGGTTGGATGTAGAGCCTACTGAGATGAGTCTGATGGGCTCCAAGGCAGATTGCGATGGCAAAGCTGAAATGTGGGAATGATGGAAGACACCAAAAGCAGATACAGGTATAATGCTGAGACTTCTGGGCCAGGTGAAGGTACAGTTAAAACATGAGGACCTGTGCCAAGGTAGGGAAAGGAAGCATAGTAAAAAGTGACAGTCCTAAAATAAAATGGAAGTTAGAGAAATCATGTAGCTGTTCATTCACTCACTCATTCTCTCAGTCACTCACTCAGTTACTCAGTCAGTCAGCCAGTCACTCACTCACTCAGTCATCACTCACTCACTCAGCCACTCTGTCACTCATTCACTCACTCAGTCAGTCACTCAGTCAGTCAGTCAGTCAGTCACTCACTCACTCACTCAGTCAAAGGCTTTCTCCATCCCTACAACTTCGAAGAGACTGGGGATATCAGTGCTGTGTCTAGTCAGAGCCTTCCTGAATTAAAAGGCACCGTGTCCAAGTGGATGGAAAGGTGGTGTATCCTTTGAGCAGGGTGTTTGTCTCAGTTGCATAGAGTTACCAACACATTGTAGGAGCTGCCAAACATTTCAGAGGTGGGAAAAGGGAAAAAGAGTGAAGTGAATTGGCTGCTGCTTCTCTGGCAAGTACAGCTTACTCTCTTAACCCTGGGAGTCCTGGGCCTGCTTTGAGTCAAAGAGAGTGCAAATATGGGAAAAGAGCTCCCAACTTCCCCACGCAGCTGCATTGGCAGGACCCTGCTCAGCCTCCCCTCCCTCTCTCAGCCTTTGCAAACTCTCTGAGGCCAGTTAACTCCAGGGCCAGGACATGTCGGCCACCGGAGGGGCTGCTGGGAAGGATCCCCAAGGAGACCAATTAGAGATTCATCTGGGTTAACCAGCAGGGTTTTCAAATATGCCTGGAGCAGTCCTCAAAAGGACTGAGATGGGTGAGAACTAGGGTTAGCAGAACCCCATATGGGGAATCTGCCTTCAGGAGCTATGCACAAAGGTCATGGGCCCCAGGGTCCAGAGGCAGCTGGAAGGACAAAGGGTAAAGCCATTTCATCCTTTACTAGCCCAAGTGTGTGCATGTGTACATCACTCACTCCACATCCTCTCCCACTGGGGTCTGGTATCATAAAAATCATCTCATTTTGCAACTGTGGTTGCTTTACAGAAACAAGATTGGGTGCTACAGAAGCTAACCTTTCACTTTTTACACTTTGGTGTAATTTTAATTCTTAAGATTAAAAGGTTATTTTTATTATGTAAAACATTCGTGGGGGTTGGGGGTTGGATAACAACATCACTCAGTTTCAAGGAGGCCCTTCAACTGAGTCCTCAGCATTTGGACGTAGACTTTCAGCAAGTTAGTCTTATTTTTTTGGGGGGGTTTATTTTATTTTTTTTAATTTTTAATTTTGGTATCATTAATCTACAGTTACATGAGGAACATTATGTTTACTAGACTCCCCCCTTCACCAAGTAGTCTTATTTTTTTAAAGAGAAAAATAGGAAATAAAAACACTGACATGTAGCTAAGCCAGCAAGTGTCAGCACTGCTGACATCCGTCCCCTTACCTCCACCCTGGATGCTCCTGCCTTGGTTCAGGCCTTGTTGCCTTTCTCCAGGCAATTATTTGACCTGCCTGTAAACTCTACAAGAGCAAGGCTGCCTTGCCTCAGTTTCTCTTTGGTTTCTGGTGCATAGTACTGTCCTCGCCAGAGCGCCCAGTCCATCAATAAATGTTAAAAGTGTGTGTGTGCGGACTCCTACTGGTCTCTGTGCCTCTAATCTTACATTTGCTGCTAATTTAATTCTGCAAAGA